GCTTCGGCTGAAGTCCCGGTCACGATCCCCGGGCAAAAGCCGAGCCGCTTCGGCTCCGGCTGCCTCCGAGAAGGGCCAAGGAAAGGGCAAGCAGAAGAAAGTGCAGTTGACTCGAGCCGTCAACGTGGCCACTCAGGATGCTGCCCGTGAGGCCAAGAAGGGAAAGGGAAAACGATATCCCACTCCCTCAAGCGAGCCTGATGAAGGCGATGAAGATCCACTCGCTCTCAGGAGTTTGGAGCTGGCATCCATGGAGACGCCAATGGCTCATCAGGTGACCTTGGATTCAGGAGCCGCGATCTCCTGCATCCCTGTTGAACTGGCCACCGCATTGGGCTACAAGCCTATCCGGCCTGAAGGCACCTGCAAAGTCTACAAGACTGCCTCAGGCGAAGTGGTCAAGGACCTTGGCAAGATCGATGCCATGGTGACCATCGGCATCGGCCAGAACTCCCTCAATGGACGTTGCTGTTTCCGGGTGATGGCGGTTGCAAAACCGCTGCTCTCCGCGGGGGCCTTATGAGCAAGGGCTGGTGCGTTCAGATGCACGGATCTGGTGGGCAGATCTCCCGAGACGGAACTAAGATTCCGATCTCGTTCAGCAACGGCGTCTGTTCTGTGCCGCTTGCATTCCACCCTTTCGTCCGGCACCGCAATGGGTAAGTCCGGTAGTGGACGAGCAGGCCGAAGAGGCCGAGCCAGGCGACGAAGTGCCGCCTGAGCTCAAAATCCATGCTCCCATTCGCCCGACGCGAAAAGAGTTTGAAGAGCATGCTGTTTCACACTTCCCTTTTAGGTCTTGGTGTGAAGCCTGTGTAAGGGGAAAAGCTAAGGCAAACCCCCGCAGGAAGATAGACCACACCGATGAGACAACCCCAGTAGTGACTGTAGACTACTGTTTCATGAATTCACGAACTGATGATGTAGTTTTGGACGAGAAGACCCATGCACCAATTCTTGTTGTCAGAGATCGATGGACGAAGCATCTTTTTGCTCATGCGTTGCCCTATAAAGGTGTGACAAAAGGTCCATATGGATCCAAAGTACTTTTGAACGACATCAAGAAACTAGGATACTCCAAACTGATCATTCGACATGATCCTGAACCTGCTCTCACCTCTGTTGTTGAGGCAGTAAAGAACGGGTTTGAAGGAACCCTGATCATCGAGAAGAGCCCGAAAGGAGTCAAAGAATCCAAGGGAGAGATTGAACGAGCAGTTCAAACCTTGGAAGGACAAGCCAGGACTCTTCGAGCCGCAATCGAGTCGAACTATGGTGAGAAACTTCCTGACGCTTCACCTGTTTTGACTTGGTTGGTTGAACACGCATCCACTGTCTACAACTTGTTTTTCCGATCTACCGAACTTCAAGACGGAAAGACTCCGTATTCACGACTTCGTGGACGTGAATGGAAAGTAGCAATTCCACCTTTTGGTGAGGCCATCGAATACCTCAAGAGAGGTCACAAGTTCGAGGCCCAATGGACCAAAGGAATTTTTCTAGGAGTGAAAGACACCACCACAGAGAAGATAGTAGGAAATTCCACAGGCGTTTTCACAGTGCAGTCCATTCGAAGAAAGCCAGAAGAAGATCGATATGATTCAGAGTTGCTGAAATCGATCACTGGGATTCCCTGGGATCCTCAAGCAATTCGCGAAGAACCAGCGATTGCAGCCCCAAGGGAACCAATCATTGCCAGTCCAAGTGGTGAAGCTTTAGTTCAACCACCGGCAATCGATGACAAGAAAAGAAAACTGAGAAGACTTTACATCACCAAGAAAGACCTGGAAAAGTTTGGGTATACTGCAGGTTGCCCAGCTTGTGATGCCACACAGATTGGCAAGAGATCTACAGGCATCCATCACACCAACAGGTGTCGAGACAGACTTGAAGAGAGCATCAGAGGAGAAGAAGAAGAGAACCCAAGAGTAGCAAGACATGAAAGCCGAGTTGGAGAGGCAATCACTGGCATGCCACAACCCGTCAGTGGCAAGAGACCTCAAATCCTTCATGGATACGAAAGCAAAAGACCATCGGGAGTTCCCGATTCGTGTCGAGTGTTCGCACGACTTGACGTTGAAGCTTACTGTTTTCAAACCACTATGCCAGGAGGACCTGATTGGTCTACCGTCTGGCACCGAGTCACAAGAAACCATGCAAACAATGCAATCATTGAGAGTGGAGTCATGACAACAGACCTTCCACCAGAGATACTCAATGGAGCATTACCACACAAGATGGACATTGTGACAGAACTTTGGTACGAACCAGAAGCAGCACCACCAACACCAGGCACAGCATCAGCTTCAGCATCAGGTATTCGCAGACCACGCGAACCTGAACCACATGGAGAAAAGAGAGAACACGAAGAACAACATGAACCAGCAGGATCACCTACAGCAAAAGCCAGAGTAGATAGAGACAAGAAGAGAAAGGCAGAAAGCGAACATGAAGATGAAGCCGAGAGAACAAGAGACATCCAGAGCATCGAGATGGCTCTAGAAAGCCTAATCCTAGAAGACAGAGAGAGAGTGCTATCTAGCATCGACCCAGAGAAACCAGTGTGTGAAGAGAAGATCCCACTGCCAGAAGAAATGGCAGAAGAGGCAAAAGACTGGTGGTACTATGATGACATCAGTGGAAAAGAGCTTCTACCTGAGAAGGTAGAGAAAGCCAGAAAAGATGAGATCGACATTGTCGAATCAATGGGAGTTTGGGAGAAGATCCCAAGAAGCAAAGTTCCAAAAGGAACCCAAATCATTGGAACTCGATGGGTAGATGTGAACAAGCAAGATGAAACCAATCCTCTCTATAGAAGTCGATTGGTAGCGCAAGAGATCAAAAGAGGCTCAGGTTTCGACGAATTTTTCGCAGCCATGCCGAGCCTAGCAGCTTTGAAGCTACTGCTAACCGTTGCAGTCAGCGACAGCCTTCCATTGGAGAAAGGCGAAAGAAGAAAAGCAAAACAATCTTTCCTAGGATTTTTAGATGTGAAGAGAGCTCATTTCTACTCCAAAGCAACAAGAGAACTCTATGTTGAAATTCCATCAGAAGGCAAGAAGCCAGAAGATGGAGATGTGGTAGGAAGATTGGTCAGAAGCCTATACGGCACCAGAGACGCACCCATGAATTGGGAGCTGACCATTGCAGAGTTTATGAAGAAGCTAGGATTTGTTCAAGGCAAGTCCAACCCATGTATCTACTACCATGCATCCAGAGAACTTCGAACAGAGGTGCATGGAGACGATTTCACGACAGTTGGAAGTTTTGATGACATCAAATGGTTTCACACTTCAGCAGCCAAAGAATGGCAAGTTGTGGAACGAGGCATTCTTGGTCCACCAGGTTCACCAAAGGCAAGCCAACAGATCAGAGTGCTGAATCGCATCATCACCTGGTCAAATGAAGGCATTTGGTGGGAACCAGATCCAAGACATGCAGAGTTGATCATCAAGTGGTTAGGCACTGGTCAACCAGGCAAGGTCAAGACCCCTTTGGCCAAGCCAAGTCAAGAGGAACTCCAACACGAAGAAGTTCCGCTGAGTGCCGAAGATGCAACGATGTATAGATCTACTGCTATGAGAGCCGCGTATTTGGCACAGGATCGACCTGATCTGCAAACTGCAACGCGCTCATTGGCACAAGGTCTACAGAACCCAACATCGAGGCACTGGAATATGCTGAAACGATTGGCTCGATATGTCAGGTATCGACCAAGAGTTGCACAGTTGTTTCCAAACCAAAGCGCCTGCAACCCCTTCAACATGTGGTCAGACGCCGACCATGCAGGTTGCGTAAGGACACGAAAGAGTGTGTCAGGAGGCGTGCTCATGGCCAACAAATGCTGTCTTACAACATACAGCAAAGGCCAAGGAGTTGTCTCCCTGAGCAGTGGCGAATCCGAGTACTACGGACTTGTTTCTGGAGCATGTCAAATGCTTGGAATCGCATCAACAGCAAGAGACTGGGGATTGTTTCCCAGCAAAGAGGTGACAATGGACGCTTCCGCTGGCATCGCCATGGGAAACCGTCGAGGCTTGGGACGAGCTAAACATGTTGACACTCAGTACCACTGGGTACAAGAGCGTACAGCAAAGAAAGAGTTTCGTCTCAAGAAAGAAGGCACCGACCGAATGTTGGCCGACGTGCTAACGAAAGCTGTCACCGAAGAGAAAATGACTACAGCTATGAAAGGCATGAACTTCCACTACCTGGAAGGTGAACATGAGTTGACTCTGAAAGCGTGAACGGCTTGAGCTAGAGTAGGTACTTCTACAAGACCAAGATGTACTGAAGGGCTATGGGCTAATTCACTAAAAGTGCTAATCCTGACTCGGTTAACATCTCCCAGAAGTTAAACTCGGGAGGCGTGATCAGATGTAGCACCAGTTACATGTACATGACATAGCTTGTATAGATGTATGTTTCACTGCAGCCGTTTGTGGTTTACTTTTGTGTTCATTTCACTACCAGAGCTACGCTTGGAGTGGAGCTAAAAGTGGGCCTAAGCTTCTACTACAACCTTTGGGACAGTGACTTGGGGTCACAGAGTTTAAGAGCCTAAATTCTCCGTTCAGTTTCAGACCATTTAGGTGATTGGCAGGCCAAAAAGGGATGTTTACCAGGGAACAAAGTTTTGACCCACAGCCAAGCCACAGCCAGGCCGTTCCCCATCCTCAGGGCCAATGTACTTGGCAAGAATGTAGCCTACTACTTTTCCGCCGCGAAGTGCCGGAGAGAGAAGACCACTGTCGCCACGAAGTTTTTGGCAGATCCATGCGGTGCATGGAATCATGCGGCTGCTGAGCCCAAAAAGCAAACCGGAAGTCGTTGGCGACCCACCCAAAACCTCGTTCCCTGCCTTCCCTCGCCGCCAGCTCGCCCAAGCCCTCCGATCGCCGCGACCGCGGCTCGGGAGATCGTCTGGGCATCTCTTCCGCAAGCAGGCAAGGCGAGGCCCGATGAGGCGAGGCGACCTGGGCGGTGCAGAGCTCGGTGGATTCGCCGGTCGCCCCTGTTGAGGTGTTGAGGTGGAGAGCACACCAACTGACATGAAGTCAAGCCTGTTCGCCCGAGAAGAGATGGCTACCACGATTTGGTGGGAAGAAGCAAAGCACATCCTTTGTGGAAGAACACCCAGCTACTGGATGTTAGGATTGGTTTATGGGGTCAGCATAGGAACTGTTGAGGTAACCCCCGTCGCAAGAAATAACTTGGCGGCCTTAGGCATCTGAGAAGGTAGAGATTGGGGCACTTCTTTTGGGGAATTTATATCATATCCATTGCAACCTTCTTGCATCAAAAGCAGTAGCAAGATATGCCATGACTTGGTTGTAGTGCTTCCCGCGTTCGAAAACCACTTGGTTGTATCTCCGTCTTAAGGTGTGGACAGTGGGTTTTCAAGAACGGCAGTGGAGTAGCTCCATGCAATGCTGGATTGAAGCTCAGAAGCAGTCAGAAGCAGGTCTCTCTTGAGATGCCATGGAGTTGGGATGCCTCGTTGCTGGCGGTTTGGCTGATCTGGAGTGTGAGCAGTGATCCACTGGCGGATGCGGGAGAGCATGGAGACCTCACAAAGGTGGCAGCCATTGGGTGGAACAGCGCTTGGATTTGGGGTGGATTAGAAAGTGATCTTCGACCCATGCTTTTATGTGGCGCTTGTAGTAGTAGGCAGTAGGTGTCAGATCTTTTTGAAGGAGGTATGTGGTAGACCCACGCTTTTCTTTTTACTTTCAAACATGACTTGATCGACTCTGGGCGCCACTGGCTAGACCTCTGACCAGGTGACGCAGCCGGTTTACGTCGACATCGCGAGTGGTCTGGTCTCCGAGTTTCGCACCACGCCAGCGCCGTGGGCGGCGGGGAATCCGGAGATGGAGTGGTTGGGCACTGGGAGATCGGACGCGGCCGGGCGAACGGCCCTGCATTGGGCTGCACGTTGGGGTGACGTAGAGGTGGTGGAGTGGTTGCTGAGCCAGCAAGGGTCGAAACCTGAGGTGGAAGCGAAGGATCGAGTGGGCCAAAGGGCACTTCATTTCGCTGCGAAGTATGATCACTTGGAGGTGGTCAAGAGTCTTGTGAACCAAGGAGCGGATCTAAATGCTCAAGATGAGGATGGCTGGACACCACTGCATGGGGCTGCTGAATATGGCCTCGTGGACGTGGTGAAGTGGCTCCAAAGCCATGGAGCCGACTCAGATGTTCAGGATCGGCGTGGCCGCACAGCTCTTCATCATGCAGCCACCACTGGACAGCTGAAAACGGTGCAGTGGCTGATGAGGCATGGAGCCAGTGTCCACTTGAAGGATTGGGAGGGGCTCACTGCGTTGGGGGTGGCGGCCACGGCAGGACGCTGGGAGATCGTCGAGGTGCTGGCGAATCGGACGCAGATGGTTGGGGGAAGGGAGGATGTGAATGCTCTGATGGCCTTCCAGTTGGCGGGCAAGGAAGGTCAGTGGGGTGTCGCTAGAAGATTGAAGGATCGTTTGGCTGCTGGTGGCACAGCAGTGGTTCTGATGGAAGCGAATGGCAACTGTGGACAGAGACCTGGTCTGGCTGAGCTAATTTGCTCTCAAAACAAGCTCACGAACTTGATGCCAGGATGCCTGCAAGACATCACCAAGGACGTGGGGCCAGGCTGTTTGATTTATGGTCTACAAAAAGAAATTGAAGTCCCGGTGTTAGTTTTGTGTGGTTAAACTGGAGCCACGTCTTCATGCATATCAGTCATGTTTTTGATCAACTTCGCAAGTTGGTGGGTTCCAAGCCAACCTTCACACCATCCCCATCATCCACAACACTGCAAAAGGAGGCAGCCGCATGTTGGCTACAGCTGGGTGGGAACCCTTTGGCCCACTCCAGTTCGGGCACGCCGTACGTCCTCCTTCTGGGCGACGCTGCGACGAAAGGCTTCTGGCTTCAGCAGGTAGGTTGGACATCCGCCATGCTCCACATCTTCTCCAGTCCGCTCGCCTGGTCTTTGCTCCTCACTGCCCTGGGCCTCTCTGCCGCCCTGCTCCTCCTGCGGGGCCCTCGACCTTGCGACGTCGACGGCGCACCGGACGGCTTCGAGGCTGGGGTGCGGAAGCTGATCGCCCGAACGCAGCGAGGCTCGCGCGCACCGGCGCGGTGGGGCTGGTGGTTCCGGTGGTTGGAGGCGATGTGCAACGTGGTGATCTGTGCGGTGTCTGGTCCGCTGGTCCGCTGGTCCGCCGGTCCGCCGGTCCGCCGGTTCGCCGGTCCGCGGGTCCGCTGGTCCGCCGGTCCGCTGGTCGCTGGTCCGCCGGTTCGCCGGTCCGCCGGTTCGCCGGTCCGCTGGTCCGCCGGTCCGCTTGTCCGCTGGTCCGCCGGTCCGCTGGTCCGCCGTCCGCCGGTCCGCTGGTCCGCCGGTCCGCTGGTCCGCTGGTCCGCTGGTCCGCGGTCCGCTGCTCCCTCCTCTCATGGATGCGCTCGTCCAGTGGTCCGGTCTGCGGTTCCGGTGGTCTATAAACTGGACATGGAAAGATTTTTTTGTTCTTCAGACAGCAACATTAGGCAGCGTCTGACAATCAACCTCGTTGGGCCTGCCCTGCAAGCATGATGCGGCGGAACGGAAGCGCCTCACCTATACCTGGGGCTTGAAGCCGAAAATCAGTAACAGAAGTCACCCTCATTGAACTGAAGTGATCATGCTTTGGAATGCCCACCAGAATCTCTGATGTACACCGTGCACCCTGCTTTTTCCAAACTTCAACGCCCCCATCCCTGGCCACCGCTCCTGCTAGTCTTGCACCACAGTGTAGGCGCAAGGTCTGCCTACGCTGCTGTTGTGGCTGACAGGTCTGCAATTAAGGGAGACAAGTTCGGATCTAGATTGTCATGACCAAATTCTGGGAAGGGCTCGGCGGGTGGAATACCTACGGGTGGATTGGTTTCACGCAGGTTTTGCAGGACCCACTTGGCTGCCTGCACCTGAACAACCAAACACCTGCGGATGAGCTCTTTTCACACTTCCTTAGCGACTGTTGTATATCTCCACAACGGCTCACTCCTCATCTCTGGGCCGTTTGCGCCGATCTTCCTGGCGCTTCCTTTCCTGGTTGCTGGATGCTTTCTCCATGGCGGCCACCAGCTCCCGCAAAGTCAGCCCACAAGCCCTCATCAATTCATTGTGGTACTTCACCTTGCCCTGCGCTGTGTCTGGGATCACTTTCAAACACAAAGTCTCACCCTGGAGCTGAAGGATGCTGGAATGCTGCTCTGCGGCTGCCGCCATGACCGCTGTCCATTTCTCTTTCGGAAGCGCTTTGCGGCGGCCCTGCTCCCTGCTGGTGCGCATTTTGTCACACGCTTCTTTGCGAGTCATCTTTGGCTTGCCGGTCAGCAAGGTGTGCTTCAGGATTGCCCGGTCTGTCCAGTGACGGCTGAAGAGACCGTCAGGCTGGACTGTGACGCCATTCTCGCCAAAACCAAAATCACTTGCCCGCACTTCATCAAGAACCAGCGGCTTTTCGCCTGCGGGTGGATCTTGGGGCGGTAGGTCCTCCACGACTTCGGCCACGCTGTCTGGAGGCCTTTCAAGCGAGTTGGGCCCAGGTTCCGCATCTTCTTCTTCAGGTTCAAGTTCAAATTCTTCTTCCTCGCCAGCTTGGGGAAGTCGAAGTCCGGGACCATGCTGGGTCGAAGCAAAATCTTCCGTCTGATAAGGAACACGCAAAGTTGCCAAATCGAAAGCAGGTTGCGGACTTGGCTGCTGGGGAAAATGGTCTGGGCTAGCGGCTGCATCTCCCAAAGCAATATGCTTCAGCTTCTGGACCTGAATTCGCGAATATAGCGCCAACCACAGATCTTGGGTTTTTGAAAATAAACAAACAAGAAACAAAGTGCCAAGAAACCAATTGGAGCAGAGCATAGGCCCTTTGGCAATGATCTGGAGTGACCTGCAAATCCCTCCGTCCAAGAGCTTCAACACTGTGCGCACCCACAAAGATTTCAAAACACCAGGAGCAAAGCCGCCAAAACTCCCACTTGCCACGGAGCGGCTCCAAAGCGAGCGCCACCCTGAACATCCCCTGATTCGCGAGACAGATGGGCTTGCGCATTCATTCCACCTTGGTAGGACATGTGCCAAGACTCCGCCTCCGGAGTGAGGGCAATGACTTGGTGAGGTTGGTCGAAGTAGGCAGTGACTCGGGAGACAGCGGCCGTCAGGGAGCACTCTGCTGGAATGGCAAAGCTTCTGTTGGCAACGCGCCACTGAGCTTCAAACCCAGACGTCGACGCAGGAGAACGTTTGAACCGTAGGCGGCTCATCTTGCCATCCAAGAGCCTCACAGGGTACCCATCTTCTGATGGGACATAGTCGCCCGCTGCATTCGCTGGGTGAGCTGCGCTGCTTTTTCATCTTCAAGGCCAACGTCTTTCCACTCCTGAGCAGCGGCATCTGGCGAAGCAGCCTCTTTGGCTATGCCCAGCAGTTCCGCAATTTCGGCTGTGAGAGGAACCCATCGGTGCCGGGAAACTCCTGCGCTAAGCAAATCCAGCGAAGAATGTGAGCAGATTTTACAGAATCCAAAACGCTTTAACACAACACCCATCGCGCAGAACACCTGTCCTGGAGGGCAACAGAAATCTGCCGGCATGTCTTCATGCGGCTGCACAGGGCGGCCAGTGGAGATGACAAACCGTTCTTTGGTGGAAGCTGCGTGGCAACCAACCTCACCTCTTTCCATAGGGATGTATTGCGCAGGGTGCATATTGCAAGTGATCCCCATGCTAACGGTTCTAGCAAGCTTCTCTCCATAGCTCCCATTTGTTTTCGTGGCGCGAGCGCTGGTTCCAAACTGCAAGAGCTTGTTGAAGGCACTCTGGTACGGGTTCACCCTTGCCTTGGCTTTCTCCTTGGATGCAGGCCCATCGGACAAGAGACCCAAGCTGAGCAGGAAGTCGTAGGCCTCATCAAAATTCCCCAGCAAGCCAAACCAGCATCGGCCAGTCCAGTCTCCGGGCAACTTGTCAGCATTTCGGACCTGGTTCCAATCGCCCGAGCATCGATGGAACCACTCCTCAGGTGTTGCGCTGGCAACCATTGCGGAGAATAGCTTCGGCTTCAACCTGGCACAAATGGCGGGCTCGTTTTTGGTTAGAATTCAACACCTAAAACTTCCCAGCCCCCTGTTTCAACAGCCCGCTCACACCTGTGCTGCACTGGCGCAGGAGCGCCTTCTTCCACACAATATGTCGCCAGCTTGGACTCCGCGTTCGTCAAGATGACTGCGTCCAACTCCTGCCCACAAGCCTCTGCATGTCCTGTCAAGGATGATTTTCTCGTCTGGGCGTAGTTGACATTAATAGCAACCAACGTCAAAGGCGATGGCGAGGTAGCAAAGACAGCCACTTTGGCACCGTTCACAAGAGCACACATCAGCGACAAGCAGCGGAGGGCGTAAGGAAATTCTGCATGGGCTGCCCTAACAGCGTATGTTTGGCAGAAGCGGTGCCCAGCTTCTCCAAGGATGTAGCTTGGGTCGAAGCACTTGTCCACTTCACCCCACATCAAATTCATGGCAGGGATGTACTGTCTGTCTTCGTGGGCTCCAGACAAGGGCCCCAGAACTGACGACATGGCTTGGCCGCGCCACCGAGCTCAGAGCAGACGCGGCTGTCACGGCCATCATGCAAGGCTTTGTTGGAACACTTTAGTCAGACTTAGTCGAAGCTACGCAAAACAGTTTGGTTTCAAAGCGAGGCATCTGCACATGCGCACTGACAGAGTCATGTACCGCGTGATATGTAGCCGTTTGAAGCAACAGGTCGATGCAATGAGCGGGTACGACACACCATGAATTTTCCATTCCACAGCTTCGATCCAGTCTATAAGGCACAGGCCGTGCTTGAAATCCTAAATCTTAACTTTAGACTGTCAGTCGGTCCCTTCCACTGCCGCAGAGCCGGCGACCTCCTCTGGTCTGTAGCCTCCTTGGAGTATAATTTCATTGTGGCTCCACGCCATATCGAGCAAGAAGAATTGGAAGCCGTGCTTGTTCATGTGCTTGGTTTGGTGCTTGTACTTGCTCAACCAGGTAAAAGTGAATTCACAGACCGAAGTCCGAATGCCTTGAAGAAGAGAAGCGTTTGCAGGCAAGGCTGGGTCGCACGTCTCTTTACACCAAGCATCGGTATGGCCAGCCATGTGGAACTTGTCGCACACGTACTTCATCTCTGGCGGGGCTATCTGGGCAGCAGCTTCTGAATCCTGCGCATGGGCAATATAAAACGTGAAACGCATTCACGCAAGAAACAACAGAACACTAGCACGGTGCTTATAGCTCTCACTGCCCAAAGAATTTCGTGGCTTTGTCATCCCCTTTGAGTTTCCGTCCTGGGCGCGACGAGCCGCGTACTTGTGCAAATGGCAAGCATCATCGTGGACCACCACGCGAAGGGACGGCAAGAGGGCTTTCACAGACGCCAGACATAGGTATCTCTGGCTCAACGACTCACAGCCGTAGATTTCTTGCACGCGCAAAATCAAACCCTCAGACAAACACGCGCGCAACATTCCAGCAGATTTGGCAAGCTGCCTTTGAGCAGCGCTGCCTTCCTTGTGTGTGCAGCAAGTCACGCACTGCAAATCTGTTGGGTCGGACGAGCGCCCAATCTCTTGCAACGTTAAACTCGCAAGCATCGAAGGTCCAAGCGATGAGGAAGAGCCGCCTCTGCCGTCTGCCTCCTCTTCTCGCCGTGGGCGTTTGCTGGGTTTCAACTTCGCCTCGCCCACTTGCTGCAAATAGTTGGACAGGACAGACGCTGGAACTGCAGAATCGGATACCCAAGCTTCTCTTTGAGGCTCCACAGTCTCTTTCAGCAAGACCATCAAGCACTGTCCGTCATTGATGAGCTTGTGCTGAAGAACGGTCACTTCCTGAGGCAGAGTGGCTGAAAAAGAAAAACTTTACCCATTTTTGCGGTTGGAAATGCTTTGCCCCCCCGCCTGGAATTGATCATCTTGACTGCAATGGGCGGGACAGAAGCATCTCCGAAAAGCGGGAGTATTGGCACAGTTGTGGCGGACCACCCGGCGCAATTCCTTGGAAAAAGTTCCTCCGGCCAATGAGGCTCCGCAAACAGCTCGACGATTTTTTGCATTGCCATCGAGCACAACAACGTCACAGCGCATCGTGGCTTTTTGGGCTTCCTCCAAGGTAGTCCTGCCAAATTCTCTTTGCAACTGCGGCAAGAATAAGCCAATCATGTCCTCCATGGGCCGCAAGAAATCAAAAGATGCTAGGTCCAAATTGCTTTGGTGCACCCGGGTGAGGAGACGCCAAGCAAACCACCCCTGGCTAATGAGAAGCCGCAATCGAGCTGTTGGTAAGAGATGGAGCTGGGAATTGTAAGCTGCCTGCGCGCCGAGCACATCTGCTTCACTTGTGAAAGACGCATGTTGCCTCACCATGCGTACGTGAAACTGTTGCAACCAGGGGACACTGAAGCCGAAGGTGGCGGACAACATGAAGCAGTTCAACTCAGGTAGCTCTCCTGCAAAATGATGGCACCCACTCCGCACGGTATAGTTGTACCACAGCAGCACACCAAAGTCTGGACAGGAGGATCGCCGACATCTCAGTGGAATGTGTTGTTTCTGGACCAAACCCGACAGATCTACGACGATAGCTGCAGCAGCGGAGCTCCGACATTCAGCAAGTCGTCCTCCGCACCCAGGGCAAGCAACAAGCTGCGGCACCAATTCTTGAGCTTTGCTTTCCCGGCCGAAAACAGCAACCCTTTGGTTGAAGAGCGGTTCTAATCTGGTCGCCAAATGATGGACTAGTTCTGGCGAAATTTGCGCAGCCGGGTCAGCGTCACAAATGGCTTGCGCAAGGACCCCATGGCACTGATGCTGTGGATTCGTCATTGCAGCTGCATGAAAAAAGAAAATGCTAGATTGATGTTTGCTGATAGCAGGGTGGCTTGCGGGTCTCGCGCTTGCAATCGGCAACTTGCATACTTGCATGCTGGTTCAAAAGCAGAAGCACGGTAGACGTTTGCAAGTCATGTTTTCGACCGCGGTTGCAATCATGCGCCGATGAAAGAAATCAAGAGACAAGGCCAGCAGCTTGAGGATGAAAGAAGACGATGCGGCCAAGTGAAAAGGCTCATGCTATGGGCGACACAGGCAGCAAGCTGTTGGCAAAGCGATTGACTTCATTAGTACAGCCAGACGAAACTCCCACCGCGCCTCCAAATGCCAAGCGGCGAAGCAGCAAGGCGAAGCCTGACCAAGGACGCATTGAGTGTCCCGGGCTGAAACTCAGTAGTAGCAGCAAAAACAACAAGAACAACAACCAAAACACCCATCACCACCACCATTATTATCTCCGCTGGTCCGCTGGCCTGTTGGTGGCGCAGGCAAGGGTGGGAAGGGTGGGACTCTATGTCAAGTGCTGGCGCCCGCTGGTCCGCTTAGCCGCTATCCGCTGGTCGTTGCCTGCACTGCTGGTCCGCTCGTCCGCTGGTCGCTGCTCCGCTGGTCCGCCGAAGCTGGTTCGCCAGCCTGCTGGTCCGCCGGTCCGCTGGTCCGCCGGTCCGCCGGTCCGCGGGTCC